TGAAGCCCTCCCCAAACATTTGTCTCAACTATAGTGTTTTGGTTACAAGTCACAAAGCCACCTCAGGCTACCAAAAAAAGACTTTTCTGGGAAGATAAGGAGGTGGGGGTGGGTCTCACAGAATAGAGGGAATAGGTTTAAAAAAATACAGATTGTGGGCCAGGCGCGGTGGCTCAAGCCTGTAATCCCAGCACTTCGGGAGGCCGAGGCGGGTGGATCACGAGGTCAAGAGATCGAGACCATCCTGGTCAACATGGTGAAACCCCGTCTCTACTAAAAATACAAAAAATTAGCTGGGCATGGTGGCACGTGCCTGTAATCCCAGCTACTCAGGAGGCAGGAGAATTGCCTGAACCCAGGCCCAGGAGGCGGAGGTTGCGGTGAGCCGAGATCACACCATTGCACTCCAGCCTGGGTAACAAGAGTGAGACTCCGTCTCAAAAAAAAAACAAAAAAAAAACCAGATTGTGGAAGAGACTGTGACCAGGGGGCAGAATCGAGGGCATCAGCCTCTTCAGGGCTCTGTCTCAGGGCAAACCACCCATGCCAGCCTTTAGGGCTCTGGGTCACTCATGTCACAAGTCAGATTCCCAGGGAAAGAGAGGCTGATGTTCTAACCTGGGTGACGGGAGTGACCACTCCACAGATTCCATGTCAAAGGGGCTTAGGGAGGGGGTGCAATTATTTTGGGGAGTACTTGTTTTGGAGTTGTGATTGCATAACAAGGATCTGCTTGAGGCTCGGCGCGGTGGCTCATGCCTGTAATCTCAACACCACGTCTCAAAAAACAAAACAGAAACAAGAAAGAGTCTGTTTGAGAGTGTGTGCTTGTTTGGGGTGGCTTGGGAAGCTGAAGGAGATTACTGAGAGCACTGTTGTCCCCTTGGCTCTGCCCTTGGCCTTGTCCCCACCCCTCAGCCAGGGAAGGCTTGACACATTGAGGGCCACCCCCAAGATATTGTCCAGTGGGGGCTGGATTTCCTCAAAGCAAAATCCTGTCTAATCACCAGAAGACAGGGCTTTAATGCCAAGTGGGCAAATGTCCACTCTCTGTCCACTCTGTTCCCCTCCCAGCGGCTGTTTCTGCTTCCAGCGCCCCCACCCCGTTTCCCAAACTGGGCTGGTTTAGCTGAGCTTGCCCTGCTTTTCCGGCCCACAGACACGTTCCTCACAGTCTATGCCTTAGGAAAAGGTGGCCGCCTTTAGCTTAGCATTCAAGGCCCAGGCCGATCTTCTCCAACCTTTCTGGTTCTTACCCTTTCAACTACCTGCTGCCCCCAATCCTCTCCACTGAAACTTCTATCCTCCTATGCCTTTCGCTTCCTGTTGAAATCCAACTCAGTTTCAGTCGCCTCAGTCCCCTCATCCAACATGGGACACCAGGAAGACAAGTGACCCTTGAATCAAGAGGAAGGGTTCTGGAGCTGTTACCATGCAATCAATGGGCTCACCGCCTAATGCACATAGAGGCCAATGCCATGGCACTGGCTTTTGAGAAAAGTTTTATTACGAGTCCACTAGCAAGGAGACAGGAGGAAACGCTCAAATCTGTCTCACCAAGATGGGGGCTGGGCAGGTTTTATAAGCATAATGATGTGGGAGGCATGATCTGATTGGCTCCTGCCATGGGGTGATGCCAGAGCTTGATCCGATTGGATACTGGATCCTGGCATGTGCTATCCACTTCTTAATTCAGTCCCTGCTTCTCAGTCTGAGCACTTAGGATCCCCCTGTGGTTGCACATATGGTTCATCTGGGCATGCTCAGGTTAGGTGACTGTCAACCTGCAGGTCCAAGGCAACTGAGAAACGACTCACAACTTGTTATATAAAAGTTGAACCAAATTGGTCTGATGTGGTAAAAGAGCCAGCCTTGCCCCTGTGTGGCTCCTGACCTTGCACAAGTTCCTCTCCATTTCAGGGCCTCAATTTCCCTCTGTAAAACAGGACAGTAATCTCCAGCCTGCCTCTCTCCTGGTGGTTTGAGAGTCAAGAGAGATGGGAGAGGAGAGTGCTGTGAGACTGTGATGGCTCAGTGTGCTCTGACAGCCTTCCTGGGCTGGGCTCAGGCCCTGTGACAGCAGGAGCTCAGGAAATCCAGGCTCAACTGAAGGGAAAATCCAGTTTAGCAAGACTCGTAGGTAATGAGGCCCTGGCACCACCCACGACTCAGCAGGGCTGGGCGTGTTGGAGAAAAGTGCCAGCAAGTCAGGTATTCCATTTCCTAGTAGGATCAGCCTTGGATGTGGGGGCCACCTGAGGTGGGGCTAGAGGCCTCTAACCAGGGGGCAGCTGGGGCATGAGCTTCTCTGTTGGAGTAGAGGTCGGATTTGAGTCCATATATAAGCTGGGAGACCTTGAACAAGTCTCTTCCTCTACCTGAGCCTCAGTTTCTCCCTATGTTAAAATAAGACCTGTGTGGAGGCCAGGTGCAGTGGCTCATGCCTATAATCTTAACACTTTGAAAGGCCAAGGAGGAGGATCATCTGAGCCCAGGATTTCAAGAGCAACCTGGGCAATAGAGTGAGAACCCATCTCCACAAAAATGTAAAAACTAAAAAATTAGCTGGATGTGGTGGCAAATGCCTATGGTCTCAACTACTTGGGAGGCTAAGGTGGGAGGATCACTAGAACCCAGGAGGTTGAAGCTGCAGAGCTGTGATTGTGCCACTGCACTCCAGCTGGGTGATAGAGTGAGACCCTGTCAAAAAA